TGGAAACTTTTCAATAAGAAATCAAAAACTGAGTTTTGTAAAATTGTTTAATTTAAATAATTGTCTTTGACTAATTGTGGAAAGGTGAAGTTTTTTGGTTCTTTTTTGCTTTCGCCCAAAATAATTGATAAGAACTTATCTGAGACAAAACTTCTCGAATCAATACAATGCTTTGAATACTACTGCCTTTATATGTGATTTAAATTTTTGTTTAGAGAATACGATATTTTTTAATGTAAATGGAGGAAAATTGTGCAAATACTGTATATTATCAACGGTTATTCTTATTCTAATGATACCATTAGTGGGAATGAGTACAAAGAAACAAATAAATTAATCTGAAATGTTTTAATTATGATATTTTTTCAGTAGTAATGCTTTATTTGGGTAAATTAGCCTGCCTCGCCTCAGCTCCCAGTTTAGGGTCACTCGTGAATCGTTCTTTAATTATCCCAAATTAGCCAAATTGGCGATCTGCAAATTTCAAGCGAAAGGATAGCAGGTCCATTTTCTTAAATTATTATCTTTGAAACGCTTAAATTTTAAAGGCCCATCAAAAATTGATGGTTAAAAAGTCAAAAGTTGCCTGAAGAAAAAACCAAAGCGAATAGAAACACCCCGTCTTTTAATGAAAGCCTGAACAACAAGAGGAAAAACAGACCAAGTTTATATTCCCCGTTCAGAATTCGAAGAACGAAGTTCTGAGTTTGAGTTTTCAGCCAATCAGGATAGAGCATTTAACATGCAGCGCTCACCAAATTTGATTTGAAATGAACGTTGTGATGGATGATTTTACCTTGGTCTATTTTGGCTTTTTTTGGGAGGGGGGAGATGTTAACTTGATGAGGAAAAATTCCATAACAAATGATGTCCTCCGCTTGTGGAAAACAGGAGCATGCATCATTAACTTTTTTACTTGAAAAATTAGGTTATATTTGCTATTGAATGCATTCTCTTCTGAAACTGTGTTTGAAACGCTTGAAGCCGTGCTTATTACGGACAAAACTGCTCGTGTCAAGGCGAAGCTCATAAATTCATAAAGTCTATGGAGAAACTTTTGCTTGAAAAAAATTAACTGATGGAATTTTAAAAAAAAACAAAAGATAATTTTTTTTGAAAATCATCCCCCACAAGCTATCTATACTACGCAGTGATATATTTTACATATTGCAAAGTGTAAAAAGTAGGAATGATTTCAAGGACGGAACAAGACTGGTCGTATCAGGGCGAGGCCCGCAATATTCCGACTGCCTTGTAAGGTCTATGGAGCAGTAATAACATGAAAAAAAAAATGTAATATATATATATATATATATATATATATATATATATATATATATATATATTTCAATTTGAGATTTCAGCAAAAATCATCCGTCCCCACGACATATAGAAAACAAACTGATAGATTTTGCTCCTATTAACAAATCAATCATGACAAGTAAGCTTCCTTCAACCAATTTGGAACGATTTCTAGGACGGATTAAATCTTCGCTTACGCGTTACAAGCTTGAATGATATATAAATAAGTCCCATCAAAAACAGCTTGTTAAAAAGTTGAAACTTTTCTTAAAAAAGCCACCCCGAGCACAAATATTCAGTTACTTTCGTTACGAAATTAACAAAACAATAGCTCTCCGCTTGCGCGTTAATAGCATGAAATAAATTGCGTGTTATTTGTCCCAAATTGGCAGTTTTTGCACTCTTAACTTTAAGAAGAATTACAGGTGAATTATTTCCCAAGTTACAGATTCAAAATTTTTTTTTTGAATGACAAAAAGTTGAAGTTTGTCTAGAGAAAAAACCACCACGATGACAATTTTTTTGTCATTTTCCTCGAAAGTCAGAACAACGATGTAAATTTAATAGATTTAACGTTTTTTATTCGAATACTAATTGCGGCAATAAACGAGCTTTTCAATTCAAGTTATGTGTTTTTGTAATTTGAGAATTATGTTTTCGGCATATAATCTCAATTTAAAAATTTAGCCAAAAATAGAATCAACTCATTTTTTATCAAAAAAACTAGCCCAAGTAATTACAATCTTGTTTTTAGTTTTTGTTTATGAGATCGTGTCCGTGCGTCATCAAGCGACTGTCAAATGTTAATTTAAACCGCCTTCTTTTCCAATTCTTTTTTTTTCAATTGTATGTACTGTGTAATTGAAAGCGTTTAAAAACCATTTCTCACATGATGTGGCAGTAACCGCTCGACTAGCATAAAACTCGACTATTATAGAAGTTTAAAAGCGTGAAAAATTATCGACTATCAGAACTTTGATAGCTTTGTTCTCAGACACACAAAAGAACAAATCATTCTCCCTTCAAGTCACTTTTGCATTTCCAAGAATTAGAATATTAGGCAATTGAAAAAATGGATCAAGTTAACATCCTCCCCCCCCCCCTTAATAGACCAAGTTAAGTTCCTCCACCTCAGCGCTTAAATTAAATTAAATTTGCTAAGCGCTGCATGTAAAATGCTCGATTCTGATTGGCTGAAAATTCCCAACTTAGAACCAATTTAACATCCTCCCCCCTAAACGTGTTTAGGGGGGAGGATGTTAACTTGGTCCAAAAAAATACTCAATCAGCAAACAAATGAAAATTTTTAACCCATAGATTGTGAGCAATCACATCCCGGCATTTAATTACTGAAGTCGAACACTGATCAAAACGGAAACTGTGAAATCTTTGAAGAAACTGTGATTTATCAATACTGTTTGTGTATAAACGATAAAAGTTTTGACAATATTTGATTTTTATGTTTCGTTGAAACTTTCAAATTTAACGCTTTTAAAAATAGTCGAATATCATGCTGGTCAATACAGCGCCGTTGGTGGCCAAAGTGGATTTTTAAAACAAACGCAATACCCCAACAAAAGCCCAGTATTTTTGAAGTACAGAAAGTTAAGGGTTAGACAACCTTTCTGCTCATTTACTTAGCCACTTCGCATTCTTCTGTTTCTGTTTCCCATTTGAATAACAAAGTAGACTGTTCATTAGTACAATACCCCCCCCCCCCCCCTACGATACCTACAGAAGCAAAACATGAATTTCATACAAACGCTCAAATAACGTGAAAAATCCATATTTTCTCCCCCTTCCACCCTAAATCAATTTGGGGGGGGGAAGATTGTACGGTTGATTCGGCGTTTCAAGTTACTTTTGTTAGTTTTTTTTCAGCGTTTTCTCAGCTTAGTTTTCTTCCATAGTTATCGATATA